CCCCCCCCAAAGTCGAACAAGGAATGGTTTGACTGATTGTACTGTGGTTGAGTGTGTGGCAGAATCCCGCCTTTGATCCTACTACGAGCTCCAACTCCATCTCCAAGGTCCATCTCGACATTCTCAACGGCGATGATGAACGCATCGAGCCTCGCGACTTCCTGCCCTGTAAGCATACGTTGTCCTGCTGCTCGAGATGGTGTGCAGATATACTGACGCAGCGACGTTTGTGCAACAACAGCCGAGATCTCGTCCACCATCCCAGACATGCACTCCGTCATGGAACGTCGTCTCGGCTTGTAGACAGCCCAGACACACATCCGTGCTACTGCTCTTCCGAACTTGTACATTAGATCTACAAATCATCTGATCCCACGCATTCTGCAGTCTGCCACACGGCCCGTCGATCGGTTCGAGAAAGGCAAGATCCAGTCGCATGCCCTGCCGCCAGTCGCTGCCTCCTGTCCTTTCGGCTCGGCTGCCTCACAGCATTGAAAGCCGTTTCAGAGGCCACCCCATACGCTCTGCACGCATTGGTAGACTGCACCCACAACACCATCTCCCGCCATCCAACCCAACGCCCAACCCACAACTGTATTGTATTGTCTCTCTGCCACACGCTTCGCACACTGCCCACTGTCAGGAAGGAGGGGAACAATGATGCACATTGCAAAAGCGCCACACGGCTACTTGGGAATGGGCATGCTGGTGAGGCCGCTCGGCGGCTGCTGGTAGCGCTTGGCCCAGTTCCAGCGCTCTTGGCGGTAGCGCAGCGTGGCCTCCTCGTTGCTGCGCGCGTGCGTGCTGCCCATCTTGGCCATGGCCTCGAGCAGCTCCAGGAAGGCGTCGCCCGTGTCCCACAGTCCGCTCTCGATGTGCTCGTTGTTGAACTCCGGCAGCAGCTCAAACGTCGCCGGCGTCTTCCACGACGGATTCTCGTCGCCGTACGTGTCGAGCCACGAGGCGCCCGCCACATGCGCCTCGGCCGCCATCGCATACGCGTGCTGCGCAAACAGACGCAGATGCCGCGGCCACCGCACCGCACGCAGCGACGCATCCATCGTCTTGCCCACCTCGTTGCCCGTCTTTTCCTTCTCGCCCTCGCCCGCCCGCAGCGCACTCGCCGACGGGCCCTCCACGGGTTCGAGCGCCGCGTCGCGCGCCCGATGCAGATCCAGCAGCCGCTTGGCCACGCCACCCGTCTCCCACAGCACCGCCATCGACGCCTTCATCGGATGACGCGTAAACTGCGGCCGCGGCAACAGCCGGCGCCCCTGGAAGTCGCGTCCCGCCACTCCGTCGTCCTCGCTCTCGGACTCGGGCGCCATGCTGCCTCCGGCGATCATCTCGAAATTGGAGCGCGCCTCGCCCTTGGGCATGAGCGTCGAAGCGATGCGCAGCGACTTGTCCGTCTTGGCCGTGGTGCGTTCGGGGAACAAGAAGAAGAAGGCCTGGATCGAGATGAAGAGACGGTACATGAGCAGCGCCACAATGCGCGAGTGCACAAACGCCGCCACACGCAGCGGCATCTCGGGCCCTTCGTACGTCACCGAGCCGATGCGCTCCATCAGCCAGTCGAGCGTCGTCTCCATCTCGGTGATCGCGTGCTGTAGGTCCGGCTCGGGCGAGTGGCCGGTGCAGATGTCGGCGAGTGGCGTGTGCAGCAGGCGTGTCAGCCGGCCGTAGGTGCGGAAGATCAGATCGCGCGTCTGAGTCAGATAGCCGTTGGAGGCCGGGTGCACCTTGGGCGTCCAATTGGATCCGTGGTGGATAAAGTCGTCGGCACCGGCGGGCTCGAGCTCCATCGTGTATACGTCAAACTTGGGCACCTGAAGATCCGCCGTCTGCACCCAATACGCGGCGGTGAAAATGAGCGACACCTGCCTGCGGATCGCCTCGAGTTCGATGGGGTCCTTGATCATGGAGCGTGTGTCGGCGGCGCGGGGAAGCGGAGCCCGCGGATCGTCGGCGCTGGTGGCGCCCGAGATCTCGATGGCCTTCTGCAGCACCTCGCGACCGTCCCAGGCCGTGTTCCAGCTTTCCGAATCGGGCTTGGCGTCGAGCTGGTGCAATCGCCAGCAATAGGCGAGGCGGAAGAGCCACATCTTGCGCTGGACGAGGCCCTTGCTGCTCAGGCCATCCTCGCCGGCACCCATCTCGAGGAGCATGCCGGTGATGATGAGGCGCGGATCGACGTCGCCGCTGCGGATCTTTTGGAGCATGAGGTCGTTGGCGAGCGTCCAGCTGCGTCGGGCAAACGAGAGCATCTGCTTGCGGTCGTCGCCCTCGAGCCTGCCGTAGTTGTTGGCGCAGCGCAGCACCAGGTCGCCCGCCTGCAGGTCGAGGTCCTCGATGTTCATGCTGTCCGGGAGGAGCAGCGCGCGGTGTGCCAGGAAGGCGAGCAGGGCGAGCAACACGTGCGCCGGCGGGTCACGCCCACTCGAGCCTGGCGACGAGCCAAAGAGATAACGGGAGGGGATCATCTTTTCGAACGAGTCGAGCGCCTCGAATTGCGAGATGGCGAGAGCGACAAAGGGGCGGTCCTTTTCCGAGTAGTATGGCTTGAGGCGGTTGATGAGCATCGACTGGTCGTGGTAGCGCGTGTCGCAATTGTCGGCTTCGGCGGACGAGAGCTTCGTGGCCGCGTTGAAGTAGTTGACGCTGCCATCCGACTGCGGCGATGCACCGGCAGGGAGGCTGCCGGAGCCCTGTGAGTGGGATGGCGAGGCGCCGTGACGGTTGACCTCGGTGGGAGAGGTGCCGGCCGAGTTTTGCGAGCGGAGCAAGCTCGACACGCTGTTGGAACGCGGATGGCTGGCACCGTCGGCGAGGGCGTCCCAGGCGCTGAGGGAAGCCTTGCTGATGCGGTTGTCGGCGCTGCCAAAGTAGTCGTAGGCGGCTTGTTTAAGCGGACGCTCCTCGGTTCCCATGGGTCGAGACGAAGGGCCCGGGGCCATGGGCGGAGAGAAAGTGGAGAGGGAGGTGTTGGATTCGGAGTGACGGCCTGCAAAGGTATGAGAGCTAAAGTCGGACAAGGAGCTGCTCTCGTTGGATCCGCGTTGGTAGAGCTCGGGGCGACCGTGGGACGAGGAGGCCTGCGCAGCATGGACGCCGTTTGCCATCGAGGTGGGGTGCATGGCGGATGTAGGCACGTGGTGCTCGTAATGCGGACCGCCATTTTCGACGATGGGGGGAGGGTGCATTTCGGGCCAGGGTGGTGCGAGGGCGGGCGAGGTGGTGGAGCTGGAGGCGGCGGACAAGCTGTCGAGCGAGGAGAAGGTGAAGGCGGGATCGTAGTTGGGCAGATGGGGAGCCGAGTTGAGATGTTGCGTCTCGTTGAGGGTGCGCTTCTGAGCTTCCATGTAGGCGGGACCGGCGCTGGTGTGACTGCGGGGAGCGCCTACGCTGCCGGTGGACTCTGCGCCAAAGGCGGCAGCAAAGGCGGCCTTTTTGCCCTTGGGCCCGCGAGGCTTGCGGTTCCAGTCAAAGACGCAGAGTTCCTGTGCCTTTGCCTGCACGAGTGCCTCGTCGATGGTGCCATTCTGGAGAGTGGTGGCATTGATGGGCAGCATGGCTGTCTTGATGGTGGAGACGCATCCTGAGCACGGGTTCTGACCGTCGCATTTGGATTTGCGTTTTCGGCAGGGCTCGCAGGCGGCCCAGATCTGTCGAGACGGTGAGGGACATGCAGAAGAAAGGGGATGCGTGGTTAGCGCTGCAACTATGGAAAGCGGTACGGGTCTGCTCGCGGAGGGTGGGCGCGTCTGGCTTGGTTCTCGATGCGATCAAAGCGCGGTGTCAAGACGACTTACCCTCTTGCGTTTGTTGCCCGAGGCGTCGGTGGAGGCGTCTTCCATGGTGCTTTCTACCAAGCTGCTCATGGCTGCGGGCATGCTAGGGGTGAATATGACTTTTGCAGTGTGCGCGCGCTTAGACCGGCGCTCGAATGCGCAGATGTGGAAAGACGAGCGAAAGCGGGGGCGGATTGAGCCGGCGAGATGAGTTCTGCGGCCAGTCGGCGCTGGCAAAGACGAGAGAGTGGTTGTGCGAGACAAACAAGGGCGTTGCGGACCCTGTCGAGGAGAGTCCGCGCAAGCCTATGGCGGTGTGGGTTTGATGCAGCAGGATATGAACTGTGGTGGATCTAGTTGGGTATGTATGGTCGCGGCGCTGTTGTGAGCTTGCAACGATGAGACGAGCCGTTGCGGTAAGACGAGGGAGGCGGGAGTTTGGTGAGTCTGAGTTGGTAAGGATCGAAGCAAGACCAGGCTGGCAGATGCGACTGGGGTGGTGATCAGTTCGACAAAAGTCTTTGAGAGGCGGTGGCCAGGGTGTGTTGAGCGGATGGTCGAGAGCGAGGAAGTGCTGGATGCGAGTGGGATCCGGTGAGCGCGGTGGTGAGCGCGTGCTTGGTGAAGAGTGACAGTGCCGATGGAACGAACCGGGGGATATGGATGCGTGGGTGCGCGTCTGCGTGAGTTCGAGTATGAGAGTGTGTAAGAGCGATCGAGAAAAAAA